TAAGACGATATTAAGCAAAGAAAAATGGTGTGTGGCGCAGTAAAATTTGGTAACAGAGCAAAAGGATCAAGATCGTCTGACCAGCTATTGAGCATTATCCATGTAAGGGTAGTGTCACAATGAAAATCGATTTGCACGAAAAGAATGTCACAATGTCAATTAGTCAACAATACAGTCATCCAACACCAACCCACAGAGAAATTAGTATTTCTCCAGAAGCCATAACTTGGATAGAAGACAATCTCAACTAGGATTAATTGACCCAAAAGTCCACACATTCATCACTGATACCAAGAACTATCCTGAGCATAGCATGGGAATGAGTGCTATTTATTATCTTGAAAACGATTATGTAAAAGCTCAGGTTTTCTACACTCTTCCAGCATACCAGCTAGATTGCATTATGTTCAATATAATGAAGAAAACCAGTCCTTTAAATGCACCTGCAATCAAATGAATTTTGTTGGAATACCTTGCAGACACATTATTTGTGTTGCAGTTCAATTAAACCTTGAAAGTCTTCCAATCTCACTTTTTCTGAATAGATGGTGCAAAGACCCCAACAAAAAATACCCTGGTTCAACTTTTTATAATAGCAGCTGCTAGAGAAGAAAATTCACAAACAGAATTTGATTCACAAAATAATGAAAAATATCAACTATTTCTTTTAAATCAGACATTAAGGAAGAATTGAACGTTATGCAAGATTGCAGCTTAATGATGTGAACTTTTTTAACACAAAATTGGAGGAAATTTTACAAAATGCTAAATCATGGTACAACTGTCAGTAAATAAGTCTCCTAAAATATAGTACGAGGTATTGCAAGGGGGTCTCGAGCAACAGTATAACAAAAAAGAAACTTTTTGATAAAAGTTTAGAAATAATTAAATTTCAAGAAGAACTAATAGCCGAAGCGCCCTCCGAGGTTAGATGAGATATTATCGTTTTTATTTTTGTTCTAACTTTGTTAATCTAATCGATGTTCTTGTTATTTTATAGATAAGGTCAGATTTTTTCGTAAGATTCTATTTGGCCGACAACAAAGGGATACAATTACAATTAGACTTGAAAGATTATCAGGCTGTTGCAGATCTCGCGCGGGAGAGATTTAATGTTACCTTAGTATATCAGGTATTTATTTTACAGACATACATTACATTACATTTATATGCAGTAATTATATTTTTGACAAATTTTTTGCTGTTTAGACTCTACGCAAAGATAAATTGTCCTCACGTCATACAACGCTACCAAAATCCACCATTGATACTGAGTATTCATGTACAGTGGGTGATCAAAAGTATTCGTCATATGATGATGATCTGTCAAGATTTACGATTAGCACGACGCATTCCTCCGACGAGTTACACAACCATTTCCAAGCCGCAGCATTCTCGTTTCACAGTCGTTTAGAGAATGTAGGACCAAGAAACGAAACAGATTTCGATATATCGGGTTGACAGATGAAAACGAAACAGATTTCACCCGAT